ATTATTTTATCTTGAGTTTTATAACTGCACACCCCTCGGGAGTAAGACGGAGCCGACTGTAGAAACAGATAAGAGGTTCAGCGAGGATTGTTCTTATTTCCTCATCTCTACCTGTCTGACTCATACAGACACACACACACACACACACACACACACACACACACACACACAGACACAGACACAGACACACAGACGGCCCTGTTCCCACCTACACACACATTCAAACACACCCTGACAACAGGCGTCTTTTGTATTGTGTGTATACACGCAGAGGCAGTGGGGTGAGAAATGATACTCTCTTCAGGGGGCTTGCACAAGTCATGGGAAATATGATTTATATCAAATCAGCCTTTTTTGCTAAGAGATGAGGTTTCTTTTTATTGAGCTTAGTTCTGTGTTGTCAGCAAGTGTGATGCGTGATGTGCTCTCTCCTCCGTCCATTTCATTCATTCACTCTGTTCGTCTTTACGATTTCACTGCTCCTTACACCCCTCGCCTACAGTCACTCTCTCTTACAGAACTGAGTTCACTTCCTTTGGGCACTTGCATATTATGTGTCTGCAGACTGGTTGGGTGAGTCAAGTGCTTATTTTGCAATAAGGATATATTGTATGGTGAAAGGCAGTGACATGTGTGACCCTAAAGAAAACCTTACCCATAGAGGTAGATTAAGTTCCCCTCACAGTTCTTATGACATGTCCATTTTCTGTTGGAATAAAACGTTACATTACATTATTGGAAGAATGACAATGCACATGAATCTGTTTGATGGTCCAAGTTATCAGATGAAAAAAGCAAATCATACAAAAACATAACAAATATCTAAAAAAAAAAAAAAAAGAAGAAAATGGACTAACTGACAAAAATATGTTTTTAGAAACATTCTGTCAAATATATTAAGCAACCACACAGATAAACATTGAGACAAAGAGCGAGAACTAACTTGTGTTGCAAAGGAGCCAGAAGCAGAAGCAGAAGCAACCTACAGAGCTTGCAGAACCACCTTCCAAGCTTACAGGTGGGGGATATTTGATACTAAAAATCATTTTGGGTCATGTATGCCTTTCATTGTCCTTCATTAGCTTCAGTAGACAGTACCAATCTTCCATTAACCTGTGTAACATCCTGTAATAGCCTGCAGGCCTTGTTTACAGTTTGATCAACAGCATTTACACAGAATATAAAAGGTGAAAGACAAACAGGGAAATGTGTCTCTGAAGTGAATGTTTTCACCAGTAAACATCACTTTAGAATTAAAGCAATAAATGACATTTAAAATACAGATAATGTAAAACAAGTTGTCTATGAGGTTGCATTAATTACCAGAGAATCTGCTTGATAAATGATATACAGAATGAGATACAATTGATAAAGTCTGCCTCCTCTAACACCATAGCTGATAATCAATTATACAAGCTTATTACAATGCTAGTAAGGGTATTGCCTTAGAAGCCAAGATTTAAGATTTATTTTTTACCTTCACATTTGTCAACATTGTGTCACATGATTTTAGCAGAGTAGATTTTCCAACATTAGATTAGATTATATTACTTGTTTAGATGTTTGCTTTATTTCAGTACCAACTATAAAATGGCTCTGCTGGGTCTGCTTATAAAAACTCATACATTTACCCTGTCTTAGTTTAATTGGCTTTCAGTAATGATCAGATACTTAAGGAGCTGTTTTACTATACGTCAATAATATGTTACAGAAAATAGACCCTGGATCTCTGCTGAGATCTGTAAAGACCTCTGTCGCCTCTCACAGCCATATTGTAGTATTCCATTATTTTGTCTTTATATTGTGACTGTGGATCCTGTCTTTTGTGTCTGTCATGTCACAAAAACGTGACCGCTTCCTGTAACCTATTTGCCTATAGACCAGGATTCATAGTTGTAGCTGTTATATACTAAAAGAGTTACCTATCCACTACATGGGCTGGACACCAGGTTAACTCATATGGACTTGCATATGGACCAAAGTATCATATTTGGACTTTTCAAAAATATAAAAAATACTTATTATTGAAATAAGTGTTGCTTTGTTTATCAATTCAAGTATTCCTTTTAAGCAGTTCTTTAATTTGAGCACATAACTGGAGATGAATTGTTCTTTAATAGCTTTATATTTTTGAACTTCCCAGCCCTCATCATAGTGTGCAGAGCAGGGGGTTGGACTGCACTGAGACTGCTCTGTTGGAAGCAGGATGCTGTTTACTACTTAAGGAATTACAGTGTTTCATGTTTGTTTGAAGAAAATCAAAGTTAATGTGTTTCTCTGTGACAGAATTTACTCTGTCTTACTGTGCGATCTGGAATGATTTGACTTTTTTTCTTAGAGATTATGTTATGTCTGTCTGTTCAAGTGTCGTAATTAAACGTAGAATTTGGCTTTTTTGAGATTACAGTTAGATGGTTAAAGCTGAGAGCAGTCCAAGTCTCCTTGTTGTGTCTTGTGTGTGAAGCTTTACAGATGATTGTGGTATTCAGCAAACCTCAAAACCAAAACAAATTGCTGGCAGCTTTTGAAGCCTTTAACACAAATTCTTCTTCATCTCTGGTTCATTATTTGCTTTTTGTCTCTATTGGCTTTTCTCAAGTGCCATTGACAAAATCACTGAGTGCATGAACGCACATTTCTCTTAGCTGTGCCCTTTGTATGCCTTTGTTGACTGCCTACCAAATCAATATTGTATGAACAGCAGGGTGACCCGAGCCTGCGCTAACACACCTGTGATTTGTCTATTATCTCAAGTCTAAAAGCCACTTTTTGTTAAGACTCGGTTATCTCCCAGCCCTTATAGTTCAGTGCATCCCTGAAAACGTTTACTCTCTTTGTGACAGGTCAATGTAATTTTCAAGTAATAGATTGAAATTGTATTTTGTTATTGTTGCCCCCTCTGCTGTCAGGGTCTCTGTTTTTCAAGTTGAAGAACGTCAATTCGACTTTTAGCCCGCTGACATTTAAATGCCTCACTGCTCAGCCGTGTTTTTTTGCTGCTCAATGTGTGTAAGTTTGTTTTCAAAAATCTAAATATTTAAAGCAGCATTTATGTCTGCTACCTTGCAGACGAGGAGAAGGGATAGAAGATGTTGTTTTCCTCTCATTATCTGCTGGTCCCTTGGCTTTACCTTGACCCGAACGCACCACTGTTTTATTGCAGGGCCTGTCTCTGTGCCAATTGGAAAGAATAAGAACAAAGCACAAAGTCAATTCAGCTGGAGAGGGACACAGGAAAGAGTGGCCTTGTGTGGATGTGAACACATACACACCATAACACAAGGGTATAGAGAACGTTCTTGTTTGTCTCTGCCATTAGTCACTCCATGCAGAAGTGATTTAGTGTCTAAATTACAGGCTCGGCTCCATGTGAATCATCCGGCTACATCATGCCCTGCTTTTACATAACAAAACGATTAAAAAGATTAGACTCACCAAAAAAAGGCTCCCATCTCTTTGCTCTAATGAAAAGCGGTCTACCTACAATAAATTGCTTCCAAAAGCCAAATTTCGCCATTGAGGATGTTACCTTGTGCAGTTCAAAATGTTCCAGAGGTTTTCCCGAGGGGTATTTTTCTACTTTGGCCACATCTTAAATCTGATCATCTTATTTTCCTTTCCCTGGTGAACTACCAATATCCATAACCTGACTGCAGCATATGGTTGTTACACAGAACCATCTGGGAAGTTGTTGTTGTCGTTAAAACTGCGCTTTCGAAAAATACTTGGCAAGTGATTGGATGAACCCTCTATCACGGGCGAACTTCAACCATATAACAAACTCTTACAGTCTTTAGAAGAGCAGAACATATTTTCCATCGAGAAAAACCCGAATGAAGAAATACACCAGTTCCAGTTCTGAAAGCAGCATCTACGCTAATCACTTCAGCAGCCAAAATTAACCTGTAGCTCATGCCATAGCTGCCAGCCGTTCCCTAAAGGACGCCGACTGGTCCGAGCCACTGTCCTCGGACACAGGCATATAGTCTGAAGCCTGGCAAGATGGATTCCCACATGACTTTGTGATCTCGCAAGTCCAGCCTGGCAAGGTTATCAAGATCATGTTTTGGTCTTCAGTACTGACACTTTTTGCTTCCCTTGCCATAACATGACTGCTGTATATCTTCTGTGTCTTATTCATGTTTGACTGTGGCTTTGACTTGGCATTCATCTGTAGAAAGACAAAGACCAAAAGTCCCACTGGCAGCCCCACAGCTTAACTGTTCTTTACATTCCACAAAATGAAAGGTACTTATTACTTTGCTGGCCATCAAGATATACTGGTAGCATGACTAAGAATATTTAGTTTTTTCCCAAGGTGGTCCTGTTAGTATTGTTTTAAGACAGACATGGATGACATAACAGACTTAAATGGCCTTAAATGGGCAAAAAAAGTCAAAAGTAAACATTGTCCACATTGTGGAAGCAATAAATCAGATTATGTAAATGTGCAGAAAGTTCAGTCTTACCCAACAACAGGGAAAAAAGAGAAAACGCTTCAATCAGGAACTAACACCTGTTAGTGCAAGTGGGGATGACTCAGTCACAAGTGGCCTTGTGTTTCTCTAGTGATTTGTCCTTTTTCTATCCATCTGACTCCGCCTTCATTTGTCTCCTCATTTCACTCCTCTCTCTCCATCTCTGCCTTTTCAACCTTTTTCAGTATCCTCCTTCTCTCCTCCTCCACACACTAATTTTCCACTCTCTCTGTCTGCAAATATTTCCTCAGCTGGAGTATTGATCCCCACAATGTTAAAAGATAATTGTTTTTACATAAAGTATGCAGGTTTTAGTGCTGAATGCTGAGCAGCAGTTGTCGAGGATTACTGTCTAGCTCAAGTAGTAGTTGAACAAGTTGTCTTTAAGAAACTGTTGCGTTCTGAAAACTGTCATCACGTCTCCACAACAACAAAAGATTCTACTTTGAGATGTGTTAAATTTGTGTTAAAACAAATCTGTTGTCCCATCCCCTCCGTTCAATCTTTGTCTTTTCTTTTCAGCATGCAAGTGTAACAGCCATGCCAACGTGTGCCATGTCAACACAGGGAAGTGCTTCTGTACAACTAAGGGCATCAAAGGAGACCAGTGTCAACTGTGAGTATACTATCATACAGTGATTAAATGCCAACACACCAACACACCACCACCGGTAGATGATCTAATTAAAGAACCAGTCTGTAGGATTAAGTTGCTTCTAGTGGTGAAGTTGCAGATTGGAACTGAATACCACTTGGACCTTCAACTAATACAAAATATACAGTATTGTATGATCGGAACATGAGAGATGTACTGATCACTGATAGAATGTACACTTACATAAAGCTGGCTGCACAGTTAGGTCCAAATATAGCTACTCACACAGAAGATGCTTCAGCATGACACTGAATTCCATTAAGCAGCCCCTTTATGGGATCATCGGTTACATTTATGGCTGCATTTTAAGGTGATGTTACATTTTGGATTATGGTGATGGTATAAAAAAGCATATGGACAGGCGTTTACATTTTAGGGATATAGGATTTGACTCTAAAACCAGATTTGATGAGAGAATTATGATGAACAAACAAATGTTTGTGTGATTACAGTGGTGTGTGTGTGTGTGTGTGTGTGTGTGTGTGTGTGTGTGTGTGTGTTTTCCTTTGACCGTGCCAGACTCAACCGCTGCAGCATTACAATATCCTAAATGGCTTGGCGTACCAACACACTACGGAGACAGACTAAAAATTGCTGCATCAATAAATCTAGCAGGCGAGGCTATAACGCAGAGACAGAGTACGCTTGTGTGTGTGTGTGTGTGTGTGTGTCTATGTATAACATACAGTATGGTGAGACAAAACAACTGAAGCATTCAGACACACATTTATTCTCTTTGTTTAAACTGTGATAGCATGTTTCATAGATCATTGATTGCAGATACCACAGAATGTGTGTGTGTTTGTATGGTACTGTAGATGTTCCATAAACGTGCTTTGTGCTTGTAATTGCTCCCTCATGTAATGGTACAGTACAGAGTCAGATTTGGTTTCTCACTGCTTTTTCTTTACGTTTTTACCTCAGTGGAGACAGCAGTGTTACAGTTCACTTTACTACAACTAATTGTTTAACATTTTTGATTACTCACTTATAGAATAATCAAACATTTCTGCACAAATTTTGCTATAATTATTGGTGGGATAGGTGATAGAAGTACTCATACTAAGTTGTAGCAGTATATAGTATATAAATTACACACATTTTGCAAACTAAATTTGTAGGATTATTGTTATGCTATTATGATGCTTTCATTTTTGTCATTTGGCATGTTGAAACTGTTCAAACAATGAAACTGATTTGGCTTGTGAGACTAACAAATAGCCTGCAGATTTAAAGTGTTGTAGCCATACTGGCCATTTTTAAAGCCCTGCACAGGCATATGCATACATACACACAAGCGTCTTGAATTTTACCTGCTACCAATTATGCAAATGTTCTAACCCTTCACTTAAACTTTGACTTTGACCACTTATTGCCTTGTGCTAGCCTCAACACAACCTTTGAGTGATCCCTAACTTCAGCTGAGCTCCTGACATTAACATGACTCAAACCAGCCAACCTGCCCCTCACCCTCACACTGAAAGACTCTCTCCACATGTTTACTGTCATCTTTAATCAGTATATTACACTGGGTGAATATTCCTGTAAGACACAGTTAAATAGTGATTCACAGATGGGCTCTGAGTTCATCTGAGTCTGCAAGTCCACCCCAACCGAAATAATAAATTTCTTAGACTTAGCGACCCACATGGAAATTTCACTCCTCTACCTGCCCCTGTAGGCCATATTGCCTTTTAAATAATGTAGAGCAGCGTAAGCTTTCCATATGATTTCTTTATTCTGTGTTGTATTGATATGATGTAGTTTAGTGTCTTTAACGATTTACTTTGATGAATAGAGAGACTACTCTCAGCAATGTTAAATGTTTCTATGCACACTATAATGTCAATGCAGCAGTTACGGTGGGAATTACATAGCAAAAGTAAAAACTGTAAACTTGACAGGACAGAGGACACGCTCCACAGATACCAGAGGATTTATCAGGAGGAGGGCTGTTTCACTGTTTCTCTGTATGAACCTGAACTCTGTGTGTGTGCATGTTTGGGCAGAAGAACACAGAACATTTATTAACATATTGACCGATCCTGCCTGTGTGTTGGGAGATTTAAATAGTCTGTAAAGACGGTGCTGTGGCTCGTGCCTAAATACACACAACATCTCACTTAATGGGGAGTGGCTTCACTCTGTTTCACCCACCAGCCGCCAATCCGCTATTAATCAGAATGTTAATTTTTATGACCTGGCCTGCCCAATCCGTGTAATAACTATAGTGCCCATGAGTATAACTACAAACTGCACATCACTACTGTTGACTTTTTGATTTTTGAACCAAAATTTGGATTTTTATGATTTTAACAGGAAAAAAAGCTTTGTTTGGGAAAACAAAAATGCCAAACATACATGTACGTGTGTGTTCGCCATCCAACTGATTTTTCCAGTTAATCAAATTGCTCATTTGGAAAAAGCCAATCACAACTTTATAGGCAGGATAAATAATGGGGAGATTATCTTCTTGCACCCAAGAAAAAGGAAAAAAAAGTGCCATGAAAATAGTGGAAAGCATGGTTGATACTGACACAGCTATACATATTGTTGTAAGTCAACTTAGATATTAAATATTTCTATGATCAATGTAAACAAAAATAAAGTGCTCCTAGCAACCGTTACTAGAATTGAAAAGAATGTTGGCAGTGAAACGTAATGGTAATTCAGTCTGATCATCATGCTAGTAACAAACTGGCAAATCTGGAACAATACCCTGCTGCAGTTGAGTATGAGTTGATGTTGAATTGGCTGTACAGCCTCAGTACTCCTGTTCACTTGGCATCTGCGTTGGTTTTTTGAGCGTAATGTTTCTTTTCAGCGCCCACCAATAATTCAGTATTCTGGTTGAGACTCCACAGAGGCTGAGAGCAGAAACAGTGTGTTTGTGTGTGATCACTTGTGCATCCCTAAGCCACTGTGCTGCAGTTGCTTTCACCTTTGATTTACTCCGACACCCTCTCTCTCCCTCTAAATGTCTCTCTGTCACAGCGCTGTTTGTTTTGCTTGAGTCACTCTAAAATGGTGTGCCAAGTAGAGGGCCATTTGTTTGTCGTTTTGATTATGAACGAGCAATTTCCCCCCGGGGGCGGATGGTAAAGCAGTGCACCCTCAGGTTACTGCAGGTGTGTGGATGCATATTTGTGTATGTGTGTGAAGGAGTGTATGTTATGTGCAAAGTCACAAACGCTCAGAGTCGGAAATAATAGGGCCATTAGGTAGAGTTTGTTTTTTTTTTTTGTGTAAGTGTGGTCTTATGTTCATGAATACATTGTTTCTCACTCTTGTACTGGATTTGAGTGTTTTCCAGGGTTGGGGGTAAGCGATTATTTATTAAACGATTGATCGGGCGATTATTTTATCGATTAGTCGACTAATCTAACGACTAATTGGACGATTAACGTGAGTTAGCTAACGTTAGACAGATAACGTTAAAAGTTACTGCAATCTTCTTGCTACCGTTAGCTACATCTAGCAGCTGTGCACTTTGGTGGTGCTAGGCTAACCAACGCATCTTAGCTCTCTCTCTGAAACGGAGGCACCCCTTTGCCACTCGCGAAGGAGACAACAACAACAAGCACCAACGCTGGCCAAATCAATCTTATGCCCGTGCAGCGCGCCGCGCAGCCCGAGCTCCGTGCACCCCGGTGGCGCCAGCCAACCACCCCAGCAGGCCAGCAGCCAATGCACACGCCAGCCAATGTTAGCTACTATAGACAGACTTGTTCTGCAGCCGTAAGCCGGCTACCATTCAAGCCAACATTAGATGATAACTAACGTTAGCTAAACACAGCCGTCTAGGTGCCAGTAGCTAGCCCCGTTAACCACCAACCCAGCACGAACAAACCGCACGGAGAGCCAAGACAGCCAGTCAGCACCACCGAAGTGCACAAAGCCCAAACCACACAACACACCACACAAACATGAAACCAACCCAGCCAACGCCAGCACCCACCTGCCACCGTCTCCTCCACGAGCGATAACGGGGCGCCCCCGCCCCAGATGCTCCCACATTGCCAAATGGAGTTGGCATACCACACCAGCACAACAGCAAAGAGCGCCAATAACGACACCTTTACGTTTGGGACTAAATTTGAAGTATTCCCATACCTTCGATGATTTAGGGCGAGCTGTTTTTTTTAGGACTTTTTCTTTTATTGGGGCTTTTATTGGGAATTCTGTGAGGAGGTTGCTGTTTCGTCCTCCATTCTGCAATGTTTTGGTCCCCCACGTGTGTGTGTCGAGCTGTGGCGAAGTGTTTTCATATTTCATCTTCTGTTTCGTTTATATTTAACAGACGAGGACTCTGTTTGTCTGCTTCGATACCCAAGTGCACAAAGTATTATTAGAATTTAGGACTTAATATCGTGCCTTAATTTCTGTACAAACTTACCTATGCATAACATGCTAAAGATGTTTTTTTCCTCATTTAACAAGAAGCCAAAGTTCTGTAACATTAATGTTTTCTAAACAGGATTTCTCATCAATAGTAGCAGTAGCTGTGCAGATATATTTCCCTGGACAAAAGTGTTGGGTGACCTGTCAGCATCCTCAGGCTGTGTGTAAAAATGACTCTTACAACGAATCATATCATCTAGCCAGTGTGCACACTGTGTCTGCGAGTGCACCATGTGTTAACCGGGTGAAAGTGTGAACAGTAACAGCTGTTACACAGACAGGTAGCTCAGAGCGTGAAGGTGGCAGGTCAAGATTGCTGGAGTACTATGGTCTATACCTGAGCTATAGATACTCCATGAAATCCGTTTGCTCACCAGATGTTCCACTGCTGCTAAAGTGTGGTCACAGTTTCTATTTACATCAATCATGAATAATATAAAATGTAGAACCTTTTTATTTTCTTTGTTACTGTGTGAGTAGGAGAAACTGTGCTCCTCTTCAGCACTTTGACATTCACTCTACTGAGGTCTTCACTTTATTTCTCCTTGTTTTCCCCTGAT